AGGGCCTGGGAGCAGCGCTCCACTCAGTGCACTGAGCACACACTGCTCAGAGCACAGCCACTCAATGCTTGTGCCACACAGAATCATAGAATGGCCTGGGTTGAAAAGGACCATAAAGATCATCTCGCTCCAACCCCCTGCTATGTGCAGGGTCGCAAACAAGCAGACCAGGCTGCCCAGAGCCACATCTTGGCTTTGAATACCTCCAGGGATGGGGCATCCACAACCTCCTTGGGCAACCTGGAGCCATGGAAATGAACCAACAGCACGAACACCACGAGGATGGCAGGGAGTGATTCAACCACCTTCATTTATGCACAAGTTCCAGGACTTCTGCCTTTTACTCTGCGCAGCAGCTCCTACACCTGCAAGGAATGCCTTTGTACTGTGCCGCAGCCATGGGAGCCCATTGGGTAGCGAGCAGGCAGCAAGTTTGTTGCTTGCTTTTAGTTTGTTTACTTTTAACTCAAGCCACATCACAGAGAGGCCCGAATCCCGCTCACATTCGCAGCAGGCAGAAAGCAGGATTTTCCCTCTGCGTTCGAGAGCTGCAATGAAACTCCATCACGTTTTACCCGAGTTTCACCAGCGGCCTTCGGGGCGTAACCGCGCTGCGACGGCACCGCTTCGCCCAACAGCGGGGGAGCAGCGCTGGAGGTTCCGCTGGGAGCTCACAGCCAAACCCCATCCTGCAGCGGCCGCTGCCACCCCGGCTGCACCACAGTCACCCCTTCCCCCTCCTCCCTGAGCCCCCAGGGCACAGCGTTGCGATTACAAGCAAACGAAACGCAAACAGCACCCCCCTCAATCACGGCGTTTCACGAAACAGCTTAGGGAGGGGAGAGGAAAGCCGGGCAAAGAGCGGCGCGGCCGCATCGCGGGGACGAGATGGGAACGGGGCAGCCCTTCTCCCCGCCCCGCAGCGCTCCGGGTCGCCCCTCCCCAAGCTTCCCCCCCCCCCCGGCGGCACAGAGGATGGGGAGCACTGACCGGTGCCTCCAGCGCTGTCGGAGGTCACCTCCTGGCTGAAGATCCAGGGCGGGTTGGTAGCGAAGAGCGAAGCGGCGGCCGTGCCGTGCTTCTTGCCGAAGAGGCGGCTGAAAGTGCCCTGCACGGAGTGATGCTTCTTCATGGCGGGGCTCCGCCGCTCCGCTCCGCTCCGCTCCCGGCACCGAACCTCCGGCGGCACCGGGCCGCTGGGAGCGGGAGGCAGCGGGCAGGGAGCGAGCGGAGCGGCCGGAACACCTGGCCCCGCCCGGCCCCGCCTCCGCCAGGTGCCCGCCCGGCCCCGCTCCTCCCGCCGCCTTCCTCTGCTTCCCCTTCAGCCCCAGGTGCAGCCACGCGACTTTTCCGACTCGTCCCCAGCGTGGCCAAGCTTTTCCCCGACGGTTGTCTGTCTGTCCCGCTGTCCCACGAGCATAGAACGGCTTGAGATGGAGAAGACCCGCAAAGGCCATCATGTCCCACTGCCCCGCAGTGCACGGGGACGCCCACAGCTCCATCAGGTGCTCAGAGCCCCATCTGCTGCCCTCGGGTGCCCACAAGGACGGGGCTCGCTGAGTTGCAAAGCCCCATTCACACATACGGATCCCCTACAGATCCCTGCAAACACCAGCCCTCCCTGCACACCCTGCACTGCTGGCAGCTGGGCTATTTCAGACACAGAAGCTGAAAGACAGAGGGAATTGACCCCAGATCATTTTTTCTGAAGCGTCCCACGCTCAATGTCCCATCACACAACTAAGAGCTGAGGGTTAATGAGTAACCTTGGTTATTAATAAATGATGGGGCTTACGGGAGAACTTTAAACCCCAAATAATCGTCAGAACGTTAACTCTGAAGCACAGCTACAGTGTAAGGTCCTCCTGTCTTGCCTTTATTTCTGCTTCCATGCTGTTTTGGCAGTCAAAATAATACTGACTTCTTTCCCAGTGGTAACTATCACATATTTAATCACTTTCTGAAATCCCTATTTCCACAACGTTTTCTTTATACACAAAGCACAGTGTGGGAACAGTGAAAAACGAGCACTGCTGTGACATGGCAAAAGGCTCCAACCACGTCATGAAAGGCCAGGCAACACCAAGAGAAAGAGAGCCAACAAAAGTGGCAAATGTAAAAGGGAGGGGAGCTGAGAGGCTGACCGTGTGAGCGCTGGGCCTGTTACAGGCTGTGATATTTCAGAGCCTTTCCAGGATGCAGCTGGATCCACCGACACCCCACACCCATCCTGCAGGCTGATGCTGCCAGGGAATCTCCAGGCCTGACCTGCTCTGTAATTAGTGGGGCTCAGCCCTCGGGACTGTTAGCTTAACTGCTGCTTATGGAGAGGTGGAACGGAAGCAAACAAACATCTGAGCGCATCTCCTGCACGCCCCTGGTGTGCCTGGGGGCTGCAGCCATGGATCAGGGGAGAGGGGCACCTCTGGGGAGCAGAAATCAAATGCGAGGAAGGAGCCCCATGCTGCCAAATGGAGTGGTTTTATTTCACCAGCCGATGGGTGAAACAAAAGCATTGTTATGTGAAAGGACACAATATCTCTGTGAGACATGCCAGGTGTAAGTGCTGGGCTGATAGTCACAGTCTTTGACTGAACAAATGGAGCGGGGCGTGCAGAAAGGCAAAGAAAGTCACAAGAAAGGGGAAGGAGAAGAGGAACTGTTTTGAGGAGATAAGCCAATGAAGTTCCATGGGACGAGGAAGCTCTCTTGCACAGAGCTGCTTCACAAAATGCTGTTGCACTGCAGAGATGTCACAGGGGCTGTGAAGCTGCAGCGCTGCTGTGCAGTGACAGAGAGGGATGGTTCAGCCCCTTCTACCATCACCAGCAGTTTCTGCACCCTACAGATGGGGGTCACAAGAATACCTCAATGAAAAGAGCAAAAGAAAAGCACACCAGGTGTGGTGCAGGCTTCAGCACAGGGCAGGCTCGGATGATGTAGTGAAGATGCCCCACTTAGTGACAGCTGTGTTTTAAGGGAGACTGATGCTGCTGGTGGGGCAGGTGGGCTGCTGGGCTGGGTGCTTGGCAGGGAGGAGCTGGGAGGACTGGGAGGACTAGGGTGGCTGCCAGCTGACTTCGTGGCACAGAGATAGCCCTGTGAGCACTGCCGTGATGGAACACTGCTCTGTGAGGCTCTCTTTGATCACAGGTGAACACCCCAGAACAATCTGCCTTTGCATCAGTGCAGGGAGCTGCGCCCTGCAGATGCAGATCTCCCTGGTGAGAAATGCCTGTGCAGTGAGGTTCCGCTGCCAGACCCCATAGAAGTTGGGAGGAGAAAGCCAAGCAATGAAGCAGCTCGTGCCAAAAGGAATATTGGGTCTGTGCTGCCGAGGCCACGAACTGGTGGTGGTGGCAGAGCAGCTGCATGGGCAGCCGTGGCCGAAACCCTTTGCCTTGGGGCCACCACCCTGGTGACACCACAATGGCCCCAGAAGCCCTGGTGCAGGGAGAGCTCTGCTAACAGGACCTCGTGGTGCCAGGGAGCAGCAGCATCCCTGCCCCTGTGCACATGCATCAGTCTCTGTGCAGGGACAGTGACAACATCCCAGGGTAGGGCTGCTGCCGCCAGCAGGGCAGAATACTCCGGTAACTCAGCCTTGCCCCTGTGACCCCACCTGTAGGGATCTTCTCTGGGAGTCAAAAGGCAATGTGGGAGGGATTAGAGGCCTTAAATGCATGGCTGAACAAAATAGGATTGCACAGGACTCTTAATCCCTGCTACAGTTCTGCCAGTACCATAAATAGTGCCATGGACGTAGAACTGGTGCTTCCCCTCCATGATCACGTAATCAGGTGCACCCACACGGGCACGAGGGATCTTTCAGTGCCCCACAGGGTGAGGAGGAAGCCTCAGGGCAGGCGAACCCATGGCATGAGCAAAGCCCAGAGCTCAGCACTGCCCAGCCCAGAATCCTGCCCAGCGCTGCCCTATCGCAGGGCGCGTGCGAGCCTTGCACATCTCAAAGGCATCTACATGACTTAGCAGTTAGGTTTTCAAAGCACTCAAGGCCTTACCCACACACCCCAAATGCGCTGCCTTAATAACGCTGATGCCTCCCTGCTGGGTGGGTGCAGTTGCAGCAGCTCAGTCGTGTGTATACTTGTCTGCTATCTGTCAAAGCGCACAAGGCAAGGAGCTGTAATCATGCATACGTGTGACTGTGATTGGAACTGAGCAAACCTCAGAGTGTTTGGAGCAGGGATCCACAAACCGCAGAGCAAGGTCCGCTCTTACATCTTCGAGACCCAAAGCCCCGATATTTTGTCTCCCATGGGAAGTGCTAGGAGCCTCCTTGCAGGAGGGACAGCTGAACTACTGCTTGTGCTGAGCTCTGGCCACAGGGACTGCCAGGCACCGGGCAGATGGCTGCATCTGGGAAATAAGTGACAAAGTGAGGCGATAAGCCTGGGGGATCTCATCATTTCCCTATGAGGCTGAGGGAGATTTCTATAAATGATTCACTGGTGTTCCCCTCATAATAGGTTTAGCAGGCTCTGTTCAGAGCCAGATACGCAGAACCAAAATAGAGCACCAGTAAGCCAGGGCGTCACGGAAACTGGGAAACTTCTTTATGTGGTTAAAAATAAATTCAGACAGCGAGGAGTTTATTTAGGACGCCCAGAAGTAAATAGGATAATTGCTGGGGGAAGAGCCAGTTTCCATCGGCACAGAGCTGCCATCAATGAAAACAAGATAACTGAGTCATGGGTAAATAACCATGGCAAAATAATTCTGCAGTCAGGCTCAGCCTCGAGTAGCCGGGGGGCACGAGGCAGGGCTGCTGTGCTGGGCACACACCCACACCGTGTCCTCCTGCAAAGGGTTTTCTCATCCCTATGGGTGGGATGGCTGCTTTGTGCTGCCCCTGGTCCGGTGCTGGGCACGTCTCTGGTGTGCTGACCTTGGGGCAGGGACAGGCTGGCCTCATCAGATTCAATAATTCTGTTTTCCCCTTGGCACTGCTGAGGGCTGTGCCTCCAGGCTGTGCTTGCATGCTGCTGCTGCTCACGCCCCATTGCACCTCATGCATCAGGCTGGGGTAAGCTGTCTGCACAGCCTGTCAGCTGTGGCTGCTGCTTGGGGGAGTCTTGACACAGCAGTGGAGGGAGCTCATATTGCTATTATTTATAGGTGTTATTACTGAGACCCTAATCTGGGACCAGGGCTCCACTGTGCCCAACACCAAAGGGAAAAGCAGTGTCCTGCAGGCAGTGGGGGATGAGCCCAAGTCCCTCAGTGTGTTTTGGTTTATGTACATTGTGATTTTTGGCCACTGGTACGCAATGATCACATCAGGATGTTGAGCACTGCTGGCTGACAGCAGTGCATTTGTCCATTGAAAATGCATTTGTCCAACTTTTTTTCAGGTGACTGAAACACCAGAAGGCCACACATAGCAAAGACCAGAAGAGGGCAAAGGGAATGGGGGAGAACAAAGCAAAGCAGGATGCTCCCCACCCTCCACCCAGCCCCAAGGGCCAGGGATCCCCAGCACAGCACTGCTCAGAGCAGACCTTGGCCTCCCGCTTCGTTCCCTTTGTTGCCCACACTGGGGGCCAGGAACCCGACTCCTTCAAGTTCCTCTTCTACACACGGCACTGCTCCAACTCATACAGCCCTTTCTACACCTCACAGAGGCCGACCTGTGGGTACCTCTTTCACCATGACACCGATCACACCAAGAAGGTGATAGATGTCCAGAGCGCTAACATCATGAAATGGGGACCCATCCCAACTCGAAGCCGTAATGCAGAGCAATAAACCCAAGCACTGAGAGCAGCTGTTGGTCTTCCTCCTGCTTCCCACCTGAAGGCATAGATCAGAAATGATATGGAGCCAGGGGACGGGCAGCAGAGTCACGGCACTGCTCACAGAGCTGCCCTACGCACAGGGAAATTATTATTCCCAGTGGCTGTGGGGTGGCTGGCACATCTCCATGCTGCTCTCCCAGAGCATCCCAGCCTTGTGTTCCAGGTGCAGTGTTAGCAAAGCCTCTGGAAACTGTTGGTGAGCTCACACCCACCCCTAGCATGCAACCCTGCCTCTGTTAATGGGCACCCAACAACTGCGAGGCCTGGCTGTGCTTTGGGACAGGCTGCCCCATAGAGGCTCCCTCTGCACCACGCTGGGCACAGCAGGAGCTGAGCCAGCCGCGGGCAGGAGCAGGATTAGTACATCCAATTACAGTTCCTCGATCTAATTCCTTTTTCATAACTGTTTTATGCTTATGTAATGCCACCTACCAGAGCAGACTTATTCCCGATTTACTTCAATGAAGGCTCAGCTCCAGGCTCTGCAGGCAAAACTGAGCTCTTTGTCTTAAGTTTGTGATCTAAAAGCAGAGGTGCTATGGGACAGGTTCCCTGTGGGCAGCTCCACAATGACAGCACTAGCAGAAGGCCCATGCCACATCCTCAGGATATGCCCTGTGATCTCCCAGTCCTCCTCTGGATGCTGTGAGGGTGGATGTGGGGCTCACAGTGGTGCAGGAACTTCCATGCACAAGCATCTGGCAGCTGCATTCACACTTACGCTTTGCCATTCAAAGGAATGATGTTGCTTGTGTCCATCCAATGTACCCTAACAGCATCCCTTATAGGAGCCAAAATGGAAATTTCCCTCTCTGAATTTCAAATTGATTTGAATTAGAGAGGCTGTGGATGCCCCGTCCATCCCTGGAGATGTTCAAGGCCAGGTTGGATGGGGCCCTGGGCACCCTGGGCTGGTGTTAAATGGTATTAAATGGTGGCCCTGCATGTGGCAGGGGGTTGGAGCTTCATGATCCTTGAAGTCCCTTCCAAGCCGGGCCATTCTGTGACTCTGTGATTCCCACACAGGAATCTTCCAGTAGAATAAGGCTGAGGAAGAGCGATAGGGTGACACCACCACCGGAACATCTGAGTGCTTTCCTCTCTTTGACACTGATTTTGATGCAAAAGCTGTTGTTCGTGTGAGCCCACAGAAAACTGTAAGTGAAGTAGATTAGGAGCTTACACTGTCATGGAGCAAATTCTGCCCTCCTAATCTTCTGCTGGGCTGTAATCTGCAAGACTTTCCCATTTTACCTCCTTTCTATTTTAAACCTGAACGCTTAATGCTCCTGGTGGGGGTCCACCCTGCTCCTCATTGGCTGAGGGAGGATTTGCTGGTACTTAAATGGCACCCTCAGCTCTGTGTCTTTGTGCTTTTTGGTTGTTGTGCTTTCACATTTGCCTGAAGAGACAAAGGAACCCGTGTCCATCACCACCACCGCTGGGCTGGGACCAGCACGAGGCACTTTAAAGGTGAGAAGGAGAACTTCAAAGCCCCAAAACTTCAGAACTCACCTGCCAACCTGAGAACTCATCCATCGACCTCTGAACTCATCCACCGACCTCAGAACTCATCCACTGACCTCTAGTTTTGGCTGCAAAGTGACCAGTGCTCTGTGTGGAGATGGGGAACATGGATGGGAAAGCAGTGGAGGAGCTGAGTGCCACCGAGTGCCACCAGTGGTACAAGAAGTTCATGACGGAGTGTCCATCAGGCCAGCTCACCCTCTATGAGTTCAAACAGTTTTTTGGCTTGAAAAACCTGAGCCCGTCAGCAAACAAATACGTTGAGCAAATGTTTGAGACGTTTGACTTTAATAAGGTAAATATTGTCCTTCCCACTCTGCTCTGTGGGTTGGCTGCGTGCTGTTCCGTGCGCGACGGCGGGCGTTGGCAGTGTAGGTGTGCATCTGCAATGCGTGGCCTGATTGTCTGCAGCCTCTTAGATTGTAATTAGGCAATGTGAAGAAATGCAGTAGGGCATCAGCCAGCAGAGCCTCCTCACCTGCTGATTGCTCTGGAAGAGGCTCTCCAAGGATTGATATTTCCCTTTGAATTCAAAGTTACTAAAATTGTAGGGTTTTATTGGGCACGCTGCGATCCCTTTAACATGAAGTGCCCTCAAAGCCTTGGTGTTGTGACACCTTCTGCTTCCTGCAGAAGCCCACCATGGCACAAACAATGCTTTGCAGCACAGCTTGGGTGTGTTTTTCTGTTGTTATGAATTGTAAATAGATTGCCATGTCATTGATTTTGTTGCACATGCTCTGCACTGGCAAGGAGCTGCCATTCCCTGCAGAGGTTTGCATGCAGGGTCTGAGCACCAGTGAGATGAGGAGGATGCTTCACGCTTAGTGGGCTTAATCCCACGGAAATAATACAATTTAGGCTATGAATCCTCTAAAAGTGGTTTTGCTTATGCCCCAGCCCTTTCCTTGCTCACTACCTGGTATTTGACTCCGTGCCTGGAAAAGGAATTGATGTTCAGGAGACCCCTGCTGGGAAGGGCTCAGCAGCGATTTGCGCTAATCCAGCAGTGGAGCAGAGCAGATGATCCCTTCTGGAAGCTGCTCCATGGGACAGCCCGGGGCTTTGTTCATTGACAAAGCACCACCTTATTCTCTCCAGAAGATTTTCCATGGTTTTGTAGCATGTACCATTTTCCACTGAAGCGATTTGGATGGGAAGGCCATGGGACTCAGTTACCCAGAACTCTGCATGGCCCTGAGTCCCTCCTGGGTTTGCTTCTCTCCTGGAAGTTTGCAGACAAACCCCTTGACAGCAGAGAGGAGCTGTTATGTGTGTGTGCAGAGAGCAAAGTGCTGGGTGATCCACCATAAGCCCTGCTCCTCTTTGACCTCTGAGTTACTGCTGCTTTGCGGAGCAAGATTCCTTTAGCACGGGGAGATTTGAGGCTCATGAATCCCTTGCCAGGTACATATGTCAAGTTTGCTCATTAAGGCTCTGTATAGATTAAATCCTTCTGCTTCTAGGATGGCTACATAGATTTCATGGAATATGTGGCAGCCCTGAGCTTGGTCCTGAAAGGCAAAGTGGATCAGAAGCTGCGATGGTATTTCAAACTCTATGATGTAGATGGGAACGGCTGCATTGACCGGGGAGAATTGCTAAACATCATCAAAGTGAGTGGGCTCTGCTTTTCCTGCTTCTTCCACAGACGAGGGTTATTAAGACACGGGTGGAGAGAGGCTGCAGTGGGAACATCCCAACCCAACAGACAACTCCCTAAATCAGCAGGCACTGCCCAGCGCTCCCACCCGCCTTCTTAGAGCACACTGGGACCTGCCTTACCCTGACCCTGACCCAACCCTAATCCTAACTCAACTCTAACCCTCACCCTGGCCTTAACCTCAGCCCTGAGCTGCCCCGCAGTGAGCCCCTTGTGATGGCATGTATGAGCATGGCCACTGCAGCCTGGGCTGAGATAAGCACTTGAATTTAATCTAAGGATTTGCAGAGGTGAAGGGCTCCTGGCTTATCCCAGTATGCCCACTTAAGCTTTTAATGCATTGAGTGCAATTCAAAGTGAGTTTAATCTCCATTATTTTAGGAAGGACTTTACTTGTCCCTTCCAGAACCTAAATGTCTGGAAAAAAGTGTCTCGTGTCAGATCATTGAGCTCCTTGTAGCAACACAGAAACCTGCACAGCATTCAGTACCATTCTGTGTGTCCTTTCTTTCCAGGCCATCCGAGCCATCAACCGCTGCAATGAAGCCATGACAGCTGAGGAGTTCACAAACATGGTGTTCGATAAAATTGATATCAATGGGGACGGTAAGGAAGTTTCCCATGCAACGTCAAGCTCTGCCCTCTCCTTCTCTTTCCCTGCAGCCCGATTTGCTGGAGCAATTCTGGGTGTTGGGTGCCCCGTAGCAGTGGGTGAGGGGAAGGTTTGGCTCCCACTGTCCTTCCATAGGTCCCTGTGGGCACCAGGGGGGCACTGCAGTGTGGGGCTGCGCTGCCGTGGGGCTGGGTTGTGTGCTATGGTTCAGCCTGTGCCACGACTCCTGGACTGGTGTGGGGGCTGTGGGTGGAGGATGAGGGCTGCAGGATATAATGAGACCTAACGAAGCCTTTCTGGCTGTGTGTCACAGGTGAGCTCTCGCTGGAGGAGTTCATGGAAGGTGTCCAAAAGGACGAGGTGCTGCTCGACATCCTCACCCGCAGCCTGGACCTGACACACATCGTGAAATTAATCCAGAATGATGGGAAGAACCCACATGCTCCGGAGGAGGCAGAGGAGGCTGCCCAGTAAACTCCAGGACACGTTCCCTCAAACTTTTCTTCCCCCTTCCTTTGCGTTATTGACACGAAACGGGCTGTGACTGCGGGAGCTGGGGATTGTCCCAGTGCCACTCTGATGCTGTGACGGAGCACTGGGCACCCTATGAGCACAGGGACTGACGTCCCCTCCGAACACTTGGCCCTGCTGACACACAGCACTGTGGAGGGAGCACGGGGGGGTCGATGCAGCATGACATGCTGGGGACACGGCCGTGCCATGCTGCTGCAGGGCTGCCAGTGCCCACCTCAACTCGGGTGCCTCTGAAGGTCACTGCTGTGTAGGGGTGTGCAGAGCTCCACCTCTGAGGGCAGGGAGAGCTGCAGCATGCAGGGTTCAGGTACATTTGAGCAGTCAGAGCTCTCACCAAGCCACTGGCCAATGCCAGCACCCACAGAGCACATGGATCTGGATGGGAGCTCAGCTCACACGAGGACTCTTCTCCTCAGTGGGACCTCCGTTGGGTACAGAGCTGCTGCAAACAGGAATAGAGCATGTGTTTACTTGCAGAGTCCCCAGCTGGTCCTCTGCACAGGGATAATTCCCTTTGAAGAGCAGAGCAGTGTTTGCCTGTGCCCAAAAAGCAGACCTGAGATGTCTCTTTCCATATATTTTCTGAGTATTCTCAATGTTTTCCCCAAAAGCAAATGGCTTTGGTCACACAATTCTTTGATTTGTTGCTATTACATTAGCAATCATTAATGATAACATAAGACAAAAACAACTCTGAGTTATGAAAAGGAGAGCGGTGAATCAGTGGCTTTTCTTTGTTTTAAAGCATTAAAAACACAGAATGGTGCCTTTTTTCTACCGACAGTCAGAACTTGAAGGATATGCTCATACCTGGAACGGTCACAATGTCAGTAACCCCAGAGGGACCAGGTCAGGAATTCTCCTGCATGTCTCATCACCCATCCAACAAAACAAACCCTCGCAATGCTCCGTGGCACCTCGAGCATCCGCTGCTTTCTGCAGGCAGCAATGATCTCCATGCAGCTGGGTGTGCTGCAGAGATGGGCTCCACGAACACCCCGGCTGTGGGGAGCAGGCAGCCCCAGCACCCACCAGCACAGCGGGCGTGAGCACCGTCCCCCAAACACCCACCCAGCCCTTCCTCCAGCACCCTGAAGTTTCCTCATCTGCTGGGAGCCGATTTCAGCACGATGAGGCAATGCAGGGCACCAGGAAGGAGCTCTTGCCCACCCGAAGGACTTTGCTGTGTATCTCTGGATGTTTGCAATACACAAGCGAATTTTTTGGTCCTTTTTGTTGTTTTTTTTTTTTCCTGTGCACGTTTTTCATGTGGGGGCAACTGTACCTGGAAGCTTTTGCACTTCCGATCTTATAGTGAATTAATAAAGGTGTTTTACAAAATCATTTCACCTGGTGCTTTTCTCTTTCTATCAATCGCTCCTGCTTCCAGCAGAACAGGTTAACTCGCTGACACAAGCTCTGACACAACCTTTGTTTTTGTTATGTCCTTCTGCAAGAACAGCACAAGCAAGGAAGGAGCCCTGGTTTCTCACAGTGAGCACTGCCTGCTGCTCTCTGTGCCGTTTGCATTGAACAGGTTTAGCTTTCTTTAAGCAGAACTCACCCCTGGGTACTCCTGGAGCTGTTACTCTGAGAGTTCTGCTTTATTTCCTGTCCTTCCCAGGCTCCTGCTGCTTTCCCTGTTTCCCTCTGTCCCCATCCTGCCCCTGTCTGCTGCCCTGGGGAGCAGAGGGATGCACTGTGCTCCCAAGTTGCAGCAAGAAGCCCCAGCACACCCAATTTCAATGCCATAGGAACCCTGAAGACAAAGCTCCTCTAAAAGGGTCTGAGAAACCCAGCTGGCAGCTTGCACCCCTCAGCATTGCTCTCAGGAGGATGTTTTCTCAGCCTCGACGAAAACAAAGTAAAAACATTGAAAAACTAATATTGTGACTTCCTAATCATGCAAAATTGGTTAATTTTTCTTTTCCAAATGGCAGCAGCTGTGCTGGAGCCACAGACATGCTGTCAGCAATGCCAACAAGGAGTGATGCGCAGCACAACCCCTGCACTGAGCGGAGGATTTGGGGAGCAGTGGGTGAACCTGTGGGGCTGCTGAAGCCCTGAGCTGCCCATTGGTTCTCAATACTCCCAAGGGGATCCCAGCTACTCTGGGGATGAGCTGCACACAACGTTTTCCCCTGGGCAGCCACAGAGCCCCAGCGACACACAGGTGAGCCTCACCTCCCAGAATACAAACACAGATAAATAGTGTGGCTAAGCACAGTGTAACCAGCCTCTGTCCTTCTCAGCTTCATGATTTCGGCTGCTCAGAGCTGCACTCCCTCCCACAGCATTTGAGGATGCGATGCTCCCCATTCACAGCCCCTCACTCTCAGCCACCTGCTTCACCTCCAGCTTCCCAACCCACGTATTTCACCTTCAATCCCACCCAACCCTGCGTGCATCAAACCTCAGAGCTGACGGTAAGGAGCTCAGAAAATCAGATGGCATTTGCCCCCTCCAAGCCATCCTGTTTCCCCATTTAGATCAACGAAAAATCCGATCAACCAAATCCAATTCCAGCTGGGCTGCGAGTCTGGAAAATGGATTATGCAGAATGTCTGACTTCGGTACCTTGATGTAAGTGGGAGCTGAGTTTGGGAGGAGATCAAAGCCTTTATACCTGTGGATTTAAAAGGAGGACCGAGACCAAAGCGCCTTGTGATTTCTCAATGAAAGATCACAAGATTGGAAAGAGATTTTCTGCTGAGCTGCTCCAGCTCAAGCACCTCTGTTGTCCCCGTCAGTGCCAGCATCCTGCAGCTGAGTCCCAAACGCTTTTTTGGTCCCTTCCTGAGCCCTCACAGGGATGAACCAGAGGCCATCTCACTGCTGCACCCTCAGCTCGCAGCACTGTCAGCAGCTCTGTCAAATTCCATTCAGAAAATGAGCATTGATCACACACACATTTGCCTGTGTCGTTGCATAGCAGCCATACAGAACTCCATTCCTGCTCTGTGTCTGCAACACCGTCCCCACCTCTGCCTCACCCAGGTCAGCTGCTGCTCTTAACTCCCATTACTTCCCTTAAACTCTTTATATCAGCCCTAAACACCAGAATGGTGGTCAGATGCTCTGGTCTCCAGCTTCATTCTAGCGAAAAATAATTGCTACAAACCAACTTTTAATAAACCAACCTTTATTAAACACATGATACAAAACTCCTGGCACCATCTGCTCGGTGTTAGGATGCCCTCTACCACCCCAGTGCAGGAGTGCGTGCTCAGAGATGCACAGCTGCCTCCCGGCTGGGGAGCAGGGCACCAAAACCCGCAGCATTTTGGTTAAACCACGGCTGTGAAACTACAGTAACTGCAAACCATTGGAGTTAAGAACTGTGAGAAGCAGAAACGGAGTGTCACATTGCCTGAGATGCTGAAATGTGAGGGCTTGATTTGTATTCTGCCATGAGAATGTTTGTCCGAGAGGCTGAAAATCAGCAAAGTGAATCTTGTCCCCCAGGTCCCCATATCACAACTGGAAGGGAGATGTTTCTTTCAGGTGGATCAACTGTTGACTTGAATGAGCCTTGAACTCTTCCTTACAGCAGCATAAGCGAGGAGTCCAATCTGCTCTGATAAGCAGGCATGCCATGAGTGAGAGCCTATTTACAGAGAGCTCTCAGAAAGGCTGCTTCAAAGTGGAAATTTGGTCTCCAGCACTGACTGTGCCCTACCCTAAACACTTCCTCCTATTCCTGGACTTAAACATTGGTTAAGTGGACTAAACTGCAAACCAGCAAAGTGGTCACCTGGTGAAAGGTATTACTGTCATGATTAAAGGCCACAAAAAAACCCACAAAAACAAAAGAGAGAATGCCAGCATCTTCGTGGATGGGGCTTGGCCCAGTGATCCCATGGGAAAAGTAAAACAGGAAAGCTCAGGTTATTTTGCAGGTGAATATTTTCTTGTAAGGAAAAAATACTTTGAAAAATAAATCCAAGGGAAGTGAACCAATGAATGAGGCCAACTCAAATTCTTTCATAGAGGTATGTAGGTATACGGGTCAGCTGTAAGAACAAGCAAAGCTCAACCTCCAAGCTGTGCCAATTTTCTCTCTGCAGAGTGGCTCAATGAAAGTCCAATGTAAAACCACTGTACCCCTTCAGTAATACAGTGGATTTGTCTGTCCCCTCCTGTTCTCCAACCCTGCCAGCCAAGCAGTGTCACCTCCTCATGGCAGTGACACCCTGAGCTCACCCTGCTCTTCCCGCAGCCCTTGTCCCATGTGCAAAGAGCAGAATCTGCTCTGCAGAGGGAGGCACTCGCAGTGACTGCTCCCCCTGCCTTTTCCTCAGCTGTGTGCAGCTTTGGCTTACGCTGAATATAAACCTTATAATCTACAATACAATGGTGTTCAATCACTTTACGTTATTGGTAGCATAATCCACTAAACATGCAAACGCTTTATGAACCATAACAGTATTCCAGATGGTGCAGTCTGTCATCAGAGCACCCCTACTGCTTTTGGGTTAGCATCTGCTATCTGCAGACATCGACGATGCAAACAGAGATGGCACCGCCACACCAGGACTTCTCACTTCCCTGCTCTGTTGCCTGGACCAGATGCTGCTCAGATCCTGCTCCACTTCACCATGGAAAGTTTGTTCCTCGGGGTGTAACCAAAACCCAGAGTGGCATTGTGTACACACACAGACTTATTCACCGGCCAAAAATAGTCTCTGGGTCCCAGAAGTCCTCGCAGCACATGGGTTTAGAGTGAGATACAGCTTCTTCAGCCACTGCAGTTTTCATCTGGATGCTGAGATTGTATTGACAAGGAAAGCCACTACACCCTGGAGTAAGAGAGCCACAGCCACAGTCTGCATCACATCTTCAGCCATATCAAAACTGGGCTCCCTCAAAACAAAGCACTTTTCCGCCTCTGCTCTGAGATCCATCCCCCGGGGTTTACATCCATTTGCAACATCTTCATCACCCACTTGTCCTTCCTGGCCCCATCGATGAACTCATCTAGGGACAGCTGCCCTGTGTGGGAGGTGAGGAGGACAGGACGGGGAGACAAAACAGGACAGATCAGACACAAGAGGAGGACAACAGGAAGTGAAAACCACCTCCTGTGTTTTCCCCATACAAACTCTACAGGTCAGCTGGCTAAAAAAGGCCAATAACGGGGTTGTAACCCCATCCATTCATTCCACCCCACTTCCCCATCCCTTTGGCTAGCGTGCAGTGCCACCTTAGCTCCCAAGGCTGAGCCAGGATCACAAGCACACCCCGCAGGCACCATTGGGCTGCAGTTCACAGGCTGGGATGCACTCTGTGGCTGCTGTGGGCTCTTAGAGAACAATGGTGGTGCAGCATGCAAACAGAACAGTCATATTTTACATTAAAATAAGAAGAGATTTCCTTCTGCTGCACCAAGCTGCTCTCAGCTCTGACCATGAACAGACCAGAACCAAACCCAACTTGTCTGAGTAATGCGATCATTCTAAGCGATTTCTTGATAAACATAATTAAAACCAGCCTGCCCAGCAGAGATAACTTTTCATTATGCATGAATGCAATCTGAGCCATCAGTTCCTTACCATCCCCATTCTCATCCACCAGCTGAAATATCCTGTCCACAACCTCCTCTGGTGTGAGCAGTGGGGTCCTCTCCTCCACCTCTGACCGACACACTTTCTTCAGCTTGTAGATGGACTGAAAGGAAGATCACAAGTCAGAAAAAGGGCTTAGAAAATGAAGAGCAGTGATGAAATTCATTGTTTTACCAGCAGTGCAGAGGCCTTTTAGAAAGGCTGCAGCTTTAACCTCTTTTGAGAAAGATCCACCTCTGATCTTACACTCACAACTAGGGATTGCTTTATCTGCGCCTTGAAGCATTTTACTTCCCTCACAGAACCTGGTCAAGACCTCAGAGCCCCCTTGCAAAGAAAAGGCAAGAGTTTCAGATAGGAAAAACTGGTTTTTCAATGTGACTTTTTCCTAAGGCCTCAGCAGAGCCAAAGCCAGGCTCAACTACACTTCCCAGCCCCCCTGCCTGAGCTGCAAGCCCCAAACCTGCAGCATCACGTACCCTAACTCCTGCTTCACTTTGCCATTAGAAAATGGCATTTTCCACCTCCGCCTGACATGACAGCCACCTGCTCATCATTACCTCTGCTCATTAGGCTGAAGAGTTTTGTCTGATGTCTTCCCATAGAGGGGATTAGCCAGGGCCTAACACAGTTCTGGCCAATTCCAGTCTGACCTCAAAACCATAATTGAACCTGCCCAGGTCTGGCTCCCAGATGCTCCCCACCTGCCCTGCAGGTGACACTGGTTGCTATTTCCCAGCTGCTGGCCATCCAAAGGACTTGATTTCCACAGCTGATTTCTTTTGGTACTGCATTTACCCCCAAATCCTAAAATATCATACAAGCATCAGTTGAACCTCATCAATATGGCCATGAAAGGGTGAAGCTGTGGCTTCACTGCCTGAGGGATTCACCTGAAGTTAAAGGCCAGTTACCTGCATCTGCCTGCTAACCCACATGCCTCCTCGCACTTCTTCACAGTCACTAATTAAAACTAAGCACGGAACAGAAACCCAGAAAGGACTAATTACAAATGGGATTTCTCTGCTGGTTTGTGCCTCCCAGCATATTCTCAGCTGCTGTGCAGTCAGGAAGCCTGGCTGCTGGGAGGAGCAGGGCTGAAGCATTTTCCCCTTGGCCAGGACAGCGGGTTCTGATGTAAAACATCTGACGGAAAGGTCTGAGCAGAAACCCAGAGCTCACAGCACTGCTGCTCTCATTGCTGGGCTCCACCAACCCTCTGACCCTTCACCAGGGTCAGGCACTGTCGCCTTGCTGCCCACGGCTGCCTTGAAACCTCAGTTATCACAAAAACTGAGTGCATCACAACGTTGCCAAAGAACTGTGATTGCTGAAATGAGGGATGAGGCAATGCCGACTTACCTCAACAATTTCTAGCAGCTCAGGTTTGTCTATGCAGCCATTCCCATCCTTGTCATACACTTTGAACGTCCACCTCAGCTTGTGCTCCAGTTTTCCCCGTAAAACAAGATTCAAGGCAGCCACGTATTCCAGAAAATCAATGGTGTTATCCTGAAGGAAAAGAGGAGAGTCTCACTGATGCTTAACTGGCCATGACTGATAGAAAACCACTTACAAAACCTCAGTGCCAAACTGCCAGACGATACTGCATGGGCTGAGAGTATCTGTGCTGCTTTGAATACAGTCAAGAGCTTCAGAAAAATAAGATTGTCAAGCATCCCTTACCTATTTCAAGATGAGAAAGGCAAGCATATTTCACTTCCATGAATATTACAGGAGGGCATTAAGCTATCTTTTGCACTAACATACGAGAATGTATAAACTGCAACTAAACCAGCAAGCCTGCTTGCCCAGGAGCCCTGGGGAAAGCACCCCAGGAAAGGGTGCCTCATTTTCCCTACAGCAAAGGGAATCCATACCAGGAGGTCTGAATTGGACGACGTCCCTTTGCTTCTGAGCAACTGCAATCAATGTTTTGTTACATGCCACCTGCATAGATGTACACAAGCTTCTTCTACTGCATATCAAATCACTGTCACCCCCCTGGCATAACAGATTTTTTCCCACTCAGCCTTTGATAATTGGATGTCCTTTCAGTAATATTGTCACAAATACGACTGCCTACAACTTAAACCTTTCAATCCATCTACAAACACTCCAATCAGGGTCTTCTGCCTTTAGTCAGTATGCAGATTTGCGAGGCCATCCCAGCCCATGCAGAACACTGCAGTACCTTGCATGCCCCCCTTCTGTCCCAATAGAGCACCATGACATGGGTGGGAGCTGCACCAGAAGACCAGGAGGAAAGGAAAGGTGCCGATCACTGACAAACCAGCATAAGAACTCCTTGCTGCTTACCCCATTCTTATCAAAAGCTCTGAACATGTTTTCGATGTACTCTGCTGCTTCGTGGTTATCCTGGACGCCGAAGAACCTCTTGAATTCATGCATGAAGAGGGTTCCGCTGGGACATTCAACCACAAATTTCTTATACCACTCCTGCAGCTCAGCAACATCAATCTCTGTCTGTTCCCCTTCAGCGTTGGTAAACTGCTGTCCCATTTTGCTCCGTAAGAGAAGAGAAAATCCAAATTCCTTTGCTTGCGCGCTCCTTTATAACGCCTTCAGTTGCTTTTTCTTTTCCTGGCTGTTCCGCGCCTCTATTTGATGTGAATATCGTGACTTTGTGTTGCTGCTGCCTTTAATTTCTCCTTCCCCAGGCTGTGCCCAGCTCCCCGTGTGCTCACTGGGTGCTCACAGAGCTGTTCTCTGCACTGGGGCAGAGCAGCATGTGGCAGCAGACACGTATAAAAATAACTAAGATCATTAGGAGATTCCCACCCATGAGCCACAGAGACCTTCAGATGTTCTGGGCTGTGCCCTATTTAGAACCAGACTGCAGAGGCTCAGGGTCCTCCTGCACATCAACACCTTTGGGAACTGAGCTTCCTTTTGCACATTGCCCACAAGCTGTGTTCACTTCATTATGTTTTTCATTAAAAAGAAGGATAATAAGCTCCCTCATTAGTTTTTTTCTAATGGAAGCACATACCACCTGTTTGCAGGGAGTGCTCCAACTTTTCAGTGAAGTAAGGCAAGTGAATGAGAAACATTAAGAGCAAAGCCTGATAAAATACATACAACTCCACTCACATGAGGGAAGCTGCTAATGTTAATGGCACCACTGACTTATAAAATTAATTGAATACCTACTACAAGCGTAACTCTACACAAAGTGCTAAAGAATTGAATACGTGGAGGCAAGTGTTCCTATTGCTCTACATGATGGACATTTTCAATGAACAGCAACACGTCTTTTACTTCCTTTCTATATAGAAATGTGTGTTTTTAAAACCTGAGGCCTCTTTATTCCTCTTCTGTGCGTTTTGCAGTTGAAGTACTTCTGCTTGCCATGTCTAGCTATAATACTGGCCTCCTCTTGCTCTGTAGAAGCCTGGTATGGGGCTGGTCACAGCCAAATGCTGCCAAAAGCCCCCTTCCCACCACTGTTCCCTATTCCTGCTGGGGCTTCCCACCCTGATCTTCATCATCCCAGGTGTTTTGAAACCGACCACTTATCTGTGTCAGCTGGAAAGAAATGACCTGTAGCTAAAAATGTGCCTGAGCCAGGCTGATAGCTAGATAGGATTCTCCTTTTAAGAGGATTGGAGTAGTGTTAATAGGAAACAGTAGACTCCCCATTACAGTAATATTAAAGACCACCAGGATTTAAGCTGTTCTTTTTTGGAAGCAGATTGGCTTGGGAAGAAGAGTTTCTAACATGGAAAAAGAGAGGTCAACAGTCAGTCTAAAATTTGCTGCTGTGGGAGTATTTTGTGTCTGCAGTGGGGCTTCCTCTTAATCTGCTTCCAGCTGTCAATGAGCTGCCAATAGCAGAACGTGTGCATGGGGAGATGCCTGTGTGTGTGCAGATCTGCAGAAGTAGAGCACAGCTGTGGGTGTCAGTAATTTTCAGTGTGTGAGGATGCCCAGGCAGTGAATGATGCATTCACTTCAGGATCTTAAACACGAAGAGGACAAAAGCTGCTCAGCAGTAATAGCAATGGGTGGGGAAGACCTGGGGAATTGTTGGGAAGGGTAAAGCTCTTCTTCAATTAAAGTCAACTATTTGGGCTTGCTAATTTGGAGGAATCCTGTTTGTCCTTCTCTGCACCTAGAATGCAAAGGGGTTACTAAGATTAATTCTTCCTTTTACAAATGCTGTGGACAAGTTTCACCCCTCTGAGATACCTCATTGGCAATGGCGCAGTGTGACACCTGAACTTATAGGATCTCACCATTCAGACGGAGCTGCTGGAAAGCACCTCTGCCAACCGACTGTTACTGTGGTGTTTCATCTGTTGTATTCCCCATTCCATTTACCGCATGAAGCCTTTTCCTCAATTGACATTCCTTGATTCATTTCACCTGATACCTGGTGAGGGCACGGCCCTATCTGGGTCAAAGAGCCTGCAAGAAGCACAGCTGCTTCTGCTGGGAAATGAGCTGGGGGGCTCTGCATGCTCCTGCATTGCACTGGAGGATTCTGCGTGGCTCTGCAGCGCATTGAAGGGTTCTGCACCATTTTGTGCAGTGCTTCTGTGAGCGGCTGCATGTTGGAATGTGAGCACTGAGAGTGCATAACAAGACTGTGCATGCCTGGGACAGTATGCTGCCTCATTGCATAATTGTGTTTTGCCTTATGGGAACTTAGTGATCTGTTCCCAGGACAGAAAATGGCTCCTCGTTGTTTCGATGACTACAAGCTTTTCTAGCCAGGAACAGAGGACTGAAAGAGACCTGAGCTACAAAGTCTGCCTGGTGCTGCTGCTCATATCAGGGCATGGAATCAGGTTAATACAAGTAGTGATGTGATTTTGGTATTGAAATGAAATACCAAATGTCCTGGTATGAACATTGCCCTGCAGACACTCTTGCAGCCCAAAGCATGCACTCCGCAGACTACAGACACAACTGCTGCTCCATGGCCAGCAGGGCATCACTTTGTGAAGGACAGTTTGTCAACCTAAGGAGTTTCTCTGTACGCCTCAAAAAACAGATGCAGGTCACTGTAATAAAGAGCCAGGTTCTATTCGGCTCCTTGAAGGGTTCCGATCAATGCTTCATAGGGTGATACCTGCTAAGAAATGTCACATCAGAATGAGCAATTTCGGTGATGAGTTGCAAAGGGGAATATCTGATTACACATCCGCACAGCATCGCCCATACGACTGAAACACTGCAGAGTTTCCCCACCGACAGCGTGGAAAAAGAGACGGCTCCTGTCAGCTCCCCAGCACAACAAGCTGCCACATGCTGCAGCAGTGCCCAGGAGGAACTCAGGGAAAAGCCCTGCACAGCTCTGTTATGTGCCTGGCAGCTGCAGCGCCCTTCACAGAATCACAGAACGGCCAAGGTTGGAAGGGACCTCAAAGATCACGAAGCTCCAACCCCCTGCCGCACACAGGGCCACCAACCTCCACATTTCATAGCAGCCCAGGCTGCCCAGGGCCCCATCCAACCTGGCCTTGAACACCTCCAGGGATGGACGGGGCATCACAGCCTCTCTGGGCAGCTGTTCCACCACCTCACTGCTCTCATAGCAAAGAACTTCCCTCTGACATCCAACCTCAATCTGCCGTCTCTTAACTTCAAACCATTTCCCCTTGTCCTGCTGTTATCTCCCCTTTCCAAGAGTTGATTCCCCTCCTGTTTGTAGGCTCCCTTTAGGTACCAAAAGGCTGCAATGAGGTCACCCCACAGCCTTCTTTTCTCCAGGCTGAACAAGCCCAGCTCCTTCAGCCTGTCTTTGTAGGGAGGTGCTGCAGCCCCCTGATCATCTTTGTGGCTCCTCTGGACCCTCTCCAACAGCTCTCTGTCCTTCTTGTGCTGGGGGCTCCAGACCTGAACACAGCACTGCAGATGATCCTCACAAGAGCAGAGCAGAGGGGGACGATCACCTCCCTGTCCCTGCTGAGCAGAGGCTGGCATGGCTGCAGGGCAGGCCTGGCTGTGTGAGGAGATCGGCTGCTGTGAGGCTGGAGGTGCAGTGAGGGCTTCACTCGTTCTGTACTGCTCCATCATTTCAGGCACATCAGCATGAGCACTCCTTGGGATGGGCAGTCTGCAGCATCCCCAGGGCAGGCATGGGAGGAGCAGAGCTCTGCCCAGGGAACATTCTGAGGTGTTCTGAGCATCCGGCCACCAATTGGAACCACTCTGACTTTTCCCATTGCCAGCAGACAGCAGTGCAGGTGACAGGAATGTGGGGTGGATGTGCCCTGTGCTGGTGCTGAGTTTCTCAGGAGGAGATCAAAGGTCTCTCACACTCTGGGAGCTCAGCCCGCTCACCACACTGGCCATTGCATTGCCCCCATCCCTGGAGGCATTCAAGGCCAGGCTGGATGTGGCTCTGGGCAGCCTGGTCTGGTGGTTGATGACCCTGCACATAGCAAGGGGTTGAAATGAGATGAACACTGTGGTCCTTCTCAATCCACGCCATTCTGATTGCACATGGCAGGACTAATAACATGGAGGTGTTATTAAGGAGCCGCTGTCTCTCTCTTTCCATATCAAAAAAGTTGGGGAAAACCAACCAGCCAAATCTGAAGTTCACCAGCACAGCACAGTCCTACAATGAAAACATCAACTTTAGATGTTTGTCTCTCATTGCCAGACATTTTGCTCCGTTCTGACAAACTCCTGCTCAATGTCACTTCCAATGGCCACGCTTCAGTGACGAATAAGGCTGAAAGGTTTCTCTTTCACTTGGCATCTTGCAAGGCACACTTCCCAAGGAAAATACAGAGTTCCATTTTCTGTTTGTATGAAGATTTTCAGCATTCTGCACATATAATTCCTAAATCTTGATGTAGCACTGAGCTCTGGGGGTGGGTTAGTCTTCCCAAAGTCAGGATTCAGCACCGTCCACGGTGTTCCATGATGGAGGAGGAGGGAAATTCCCCACTGTTTGTTCTAGTTCATTGAAACTGAACGGGGAAGCATTATGCGATCTCCTGAAACCAAGATTCACCACTGAGTCACGGCTCTCCACCTACAGGGAAAAGAAATGAAAGGCGAACGAGAAGCGAGACCGGCGGGATGCTGAGGGATGCCGCAGGCAGCGAGGAGGGTGCGCGCAGGGCCGGGGCTGCGGGAGGAGGAAAGTTGGTACGGCTTGGTGAGAAAGCGGCTGTGCGTTGGTCTTTTAAGTTTTTGAGGCTTTAAGTTTTGGTTAAAACGTAATGGGTGGATGCGCTGGGCCAAACGGGTTATGAAGTGAGTGGGGGGGGAGGAAGGGGGGAGGAATGGGAAAAAAAAAAAAAAAAGGACGAAATTCATTTTGTTTTTAAGAATTCCACTTCAGAGCAGAAAGAAAGAAAAAAAAAAGAGGTCGGGCTGCCCCCACCCGTGGCGACGGGGCGCAGCGCAGCGGAGCCGTGGGAGGGGCGGGGCGGGCGGCGTCGCGGCTGCGCCCGGCGCACCTGAGCAGGTGAGGGCGGAGCCGCCGCCGTGTGCGCGCCGCCGCCGCCGCGCTCCCCCCTTCGCTCCTCCGCCGGCGCCGCCCCGCCGCTGCGCCCACGCGCGGGCCCCGCGGGGCGGCGGAGAGCCCCGGGGCGCGGAGCGGAGCGGCCCCTGCCTCGGCGCGGCAACCCCCGGCGGAGCGGAGCGGTGAGTGGCGCGGGATCCAACTGTGCGGCGGGGCCAGGCGGTGCGGGGCCGCTCTCGGGACTCGCTCGGTGCGGGGTTCCGGCGGAGCGGGTCGGGGCGCGGGGCCGCGACGGAGCTGGAAGGCGGCCGATGGGGAGAGGATTCGGCTCTGTGCGAGGCGGCGCCGGGAGGCGTCCCGTGGTGTTCCTGCCCGGCCCGTTCCGGGCTGTAAGGGGAGGGGACTGCCCGGCCCGTGTCCGTTTATTGCCTTCTCTGTCTGCTCGCACGGGTCGTGCTGCCGTTAGCCTTAAGCGATGTCTTTGAAGTCGGCAGAAGCGAAGCCCGAAGGCAGGACGGGGTGGCTCTCGTCCCCCCGTGCCGCGACGGCTGTTCCCATAGCACAGCTATGAGACCCGGCACCTGGGAGGCCCCTTCCTTTCATCTCTGTCGTGGGAATCGCGAGGATTAATGGTGCTGAAAGGGTTAATGGCCGCAGCGAGGGGCTGTGGGGCTTTGGGGAAGCGGTGATGTACAAAGCTGCGAGATGTGGGAGCCGTAGATTCCCTGTGCGGGGGGGTGGTGGAGTGTCAGCTAACTGGATGAAAGTTCAGCGTGTTTGTCGGTGGGAATACTGATACGAGGGTTGAGCTGCTTGCCTTTGGGAAGGAAAAAAAAAATCCACCAGATGCACGAGAATGTCATCAAACAAAGGTAACAAGTGAGGAACGAGGTGGCAGCCCGTGGTACTGCAAAGCTGCACCCAGAGAACGCCCCTTCCTTGCTTAGAGGCTGTGAGCTGGTTGGGAAGGTGCTGAGTGTTGGCGGTGCTGGCAGAGCCTGAAAGCGCTGCAGCTGGGAAAACCCGTGGGCTGCAACGCTATGGGGAGAGGCGTGCATGAGGGAGGCAGGAGGGGCACGGAGCATCCTTCAGCTCGGGGCACACGGGCTATTCACCCTGACCCAGAGCAGCCCCTATGCAGCGTGGTGCTGCGTGCTGTTACGTTGGCTGACAGCTGTGCTGAGGGTCACCGAAATCGACTGTGGCTGGCTCTGACTTTCGCTGCTGGGCTGTGAGGTGCTTGTTTGTTTTCCAGCCCCCCGTGAGCTCTTGCTGGGTAACATTTTGCCCTCGCAGCGCCCGGTGGTCGCGGATTCTTGGGCTGGAAGTTGAAGGCTGTGAGGGGCTGAGTCACTGTCTGCTGCAGTGGATTCAAGTTGGTTTGCTCTCGTAGTGTGTCAACAAGTCATTGGTGATAAAAGGTCATAAAGCATTGTAACGTCTGGTATTGACAGGGGCTGGCTGTCACCCAGGGGACAGTTTGATCCTAATGGGGTGCCAATGCTCTGTGCACGTGACTGAATTCGTTTTCTATGAAAGGCAGGCATGAATTTTTCTCTGTGGTGCGTATGGGTTTCTATTCCATCTTGGCTTTGCAGATGTGTGTGTTAATAGAGGCAGAGGGGCTGCTTGCAGTAAAGTTAAATGCATGAGAAGTTGCAGAAACAAGCTTCGGTTAGGATTTCCTTGTTCCAAGGAGAAATCACTGATTTTCCCTTTGCATGTGAGATCAAGACCTGACTTTTGTTGTTTTTGTCTCAATTCTAAGCCCAGAATTAACCTGGGCTTTGTGATTTTGCAAACACTTTGTGCAGTGTTTAATTCTGATGGGATTTTGTGTACGGATAACTGATAGAGCAGCTTTCAGAAGCATAAAAATAATGTTGAGGATTCCTTTCTGATCTTTTGCAGCACCTGGAGATATATCTGCTAATATGCCTGGGTCCTTGGCTAAGCACGTTTTCCGAGTACTATTTAAACAGGATTTGCAGTGAAATCAGGACAATTTCTTTGCTTAACAGATAAAATAAGCTGCGTTCAGATTAATTTTGTGTGAACGCTTGCAGGTATTTGAACAAATAAAACGTGTTCCTGAGCTAGTTCTTGGATAGGCTTTATCATCTCCTCTATCTCTGCTGCTAGACTCATTTTGCAACTCCAGTAGCAGTGTCTGGGGCTCATGGTGAAGGATTTGTATTTGCTTTATTAATGGGAAAATTGCCATTTTTTCCTCATTGTTATACAATTCTCAGAATGAATGTGTGAGATGTGCCTTCTAACACGTGTAGCATGAATCCCTCCTCCCAAAAGATGCTAAATGCTGCTTTTTCTTGCAGAGGGGGCAGTTGTTAACTCTCTTTGGCTTTGTCTGTTCTGATGAAGAAGAATATTGCTGGTTACGAATGTAGCAGCAACAAGATACTACTTAAGGCATCCGATTTGTAGTTTAACTGCAGTTTTGTTTTCTTAACAAACCGTTAAGGCAGCATGACTTGATTTCTAGCATGAGCGTGGACTTGCAGTTCGTGTCCTCCTGGATAAACACTGCAGTTACTACAGGTCAGCACCTTGCAGTGATGTTTGCAGATGATTCTGCTGCACTGAGGAACTTGAGGACAGACGTGAAATGACTTCTGGAGGAAAGCCCATCTCTTATAAAGCAGTCCTGTCCTTGCTAATGATTCTTCCTATACCTCAGTTGGGGCAGAAACTTCAGATTTGGCCCCTTAGCTTTGTCTCTCTAAGGTGAGATCGACAGGACTGAAGGAAAACTAAGTGAGAGTCCCATTCAGTGAGGGGTACGTGGAGGCTTCTGGAATTCCAATGTCAGTTCTTGCTGTGGCTTGCTGGTGGCTTTATCTCCTGTGCAGCATTTCCAGCTCGGGCTTGGCTGGGGCTCAGCCTTCCCAATTAACACAAATAACGTACATCTCTACTTAATGGAATATTTACCAAGTTGTTGTTCTAGAAATACTTACAGTCTGTGCTTAGTGACCCGTTTGTAGCTCCTCCTGTAGAACAGTCGCTAGCTAAGTCTGAGTCAGTGATTTCAGTGTGCACTAACAACAACTGATAGCAGTAGCATCCCACAGGGTGCTTTTTCGTGAAGTCCACTTTGTAAACAAGAGAAATCAAACTAACCTGCTGCAGTTGGTCTGCTCTCACCTCTGTCTGTCTTAGACAATGGCGCTACACCCGCGCAGGGTGCGCCTGAAGCCGTGGCTGGTGGCCCAGGTGGACAGTGGGATGTACCCCGGCCTCATCTGGCTGAACCGAGAAGCCAAGAGGTTCCAGATCCCCTGGAAGCACGCGACCCGGCACAGCCCGCAGCACGAGGAGGAGAACACCATCTTCAAGGTGAGGGAGGGAGAAGCTTGGTTACACAAAGGGCCGAATTGTTGTCCCCACAGCTCCATAGGCGTTTCAGTAACAGATTCCAGGTGCGTTTTGTTCTATTTCTTGGCTCTTTGAAATGCCACTCTGTGCACCTTGGTGCTCTGTGCCAAGCTTGGCACTGCGCTGGAGAGGTGTACAGTTCTTTAACCCTTTCAGACCACGACAGGCCTGGTGATGTATGGTTGCCTGGTCAATGGATGACTGATGCTCTGATGCTGGGGCTGCTCCACGCCGCTGTAACCAAATCCATCCCCTGCACAGGAGATGCTTCCAGACAGCAGAAACCAGAAATGGTTTCTGGTATCACAGCTGAGGCACCCAGAGAGACTCAGTGCACAATCCTGTGTGGTTGGTACTTAACTTGTACATTCAGAGCATACATCTTCATGCATTTATTATCTTCTCCTTTTAATGGGAAAAGCTATTAAGGAGGGAATGTCTGCTGCCGTTATCAGAAGAGCCGTGGTTAAGGCTTCTGCAGAAGAGCATTTTCACACTAAATTTGTTTCTGAGCTTTATTTCTGATAAAATTAGCTCTGTTGTGAGGGCTGGACTGAGCACCGTGCTGTACTTTGTCCCCAGGCATGGGCTGTGGAAACAGGAAAATACCAGGAAGGAGTCGACGAGCCAGACCCTGCAAAATGGAAAGCCCAGCTCCGATGTGCTCTTAACAAAAGCCGGGAGTTCAACTTGATGTATGATGGCACCAAGGAGGTGCCCATGAATCCTGTGAAAATCTATGAAGTGTGCGATATCCCGCAGTCCCAGGGATCAATCATTAATCCAGGTGAGGGCCTTGTTGGTACAGAGCTGCTTACTGAGCAGGCGTTTGTCCAATGCGTGCACCTTTCCCTGCGTGGCATTAACTCCCGAGCTGCCTTTGTGTGCAGTGCCTGGCAGCTGCTGTAAGCCCAGCTGCACCTGAAGAGGACTTTGAGCCATAGTATGCCTGTACTAAAATTAATACATCTTCACACAGTAGCGTGCTTTGTGCTGAAGAAAATCCAATGTTATCGATAGTTTCTGTACCCTCAGCTTTGTAAAAGCAGGTATTAAGCTGAAAATGTTGTACAGATGAGATTTTCTTTGTTTAACTTATTATCAGAAATAAACTTTTGATATTGTGCAAAGCCAATGTGAAAACTACATTATTTTTTTTTTTCCCCAAGAAATGCCCTGCAGTGTTTCATACCCATTGTCTGCCCACTTTGTGCTTGTTTGCAGGTTCCACTGGCTCAGCTCCATGGGATGAGAAGGAAAATGATCTTGATGAGGATGAAGAGGAAGAATTGAATCCATCTCAGCATGTCCCTATTCAAGAGACATTTCCATTTCTTAATATCAATGGTTGGTACCATAGGCTGTAATGTAATAGTGAAGTTATTTGCTTGTATATTGGTGCGTGCTTGAAATTAAGACTTGGCTTAGGAAAGAATCAATTCCCTTCTGTAGATTCTCCGATGGCTCCAGCCAGCGCAGAGAACTGCAGCCCTGAAGCTGTGTGGCCAAAGAATGAACCTCTGGATATGGAGATGCCCCCGACTGCTTTGCAGCATGACTTCTTCAGCAGCCCGGAGCTCTGGATCAGCTCTCTTCCAAGTACGTTCATGGGTTTGTAGTGCTTCTGTCATTGTTCTTAAAAAGTCAAAACCATTTTTGAATCCTTTTTGCTTGTTAGCATCTGTGTATAGCTAAAACATCCCTGGAAGCCTAGTTTGTATTGTGTGATATGTCTCTACTGCTGATGTATGTGCAGACGTCCAGGAAAAGTCCTACTGACAGTTTCTCTCAGTGACAGACCTAGAAATCAAGTTCGAATATCGAGGAAAGGAGACTGGGCAGACAACAACTGTGAGCAACCCGCAGGGATGCAGACTGTTCTACGGAGAGCTGGGTCCTATGCCAGACCAGGAAGAGCTCTTTGGGCCAATTAATTTGGAGCAAGTAAGGTTTCCAGGAACAGAGCAAATCACCAATGAAAAGCAAAAGATCTTCACCAGTCGGCTGCTGGATGTTATGGACAGGGGACTGATCCTGGAGGTCAGTGGCCACGCCATCTACGCTGTGCGGCTCTGCCAGTGCAAGGTGTACTGGTCTGGTCCCTGTGCACCTTCTGCCACTACACCAAATTTGATTGAGAGGCAAAAGAAAGTCAAACTCTTCTGTTTGGAAACGTTCCTAAGTGGTAGGTAGCTTCTTCTTCTGGAAGATAACTTTGGATCCTGGTGACGTTATTGGAAAGGGCGGTCTGTCCTGGGGGTTGGTTTCAATGTGCTAATTAGATTGCATATGCATGGAGCATGAGTAATTGTCCTTGCTTCCCCTAACCTTGATGGACTGTGGAGTGGCTTATTTAATGCTCTGAGCTGTTGGTGGGTTTGCTTTTAAAGAAAGCTTTTGTGTATTCAAGAAACAGGCTGTAATTGTGGATATGCAAGAAGAAGCTCTGGCAACGGAGCATAGTTGAGACCTGGCACAATGTGGGTGGGACATGGTAAGCATTCCTATCCAAAAAGTGGACAAACCTGCAGCATTCTGCTTTTCTTCTTAGAGCTGATTGCCCACCAGAAAGGACAAATTGAGAAACAGCCACCATTTGAGATCTATTTCTGTTTTGGGGAAGAGTGGCCCGATGGAAAACCTCGGGAGAGAAAGCTGATCGTGGTTCAGGTAGGAATGAAGGCCTTGGACGTGTGATAACCCTGCTGGGGCAATGCACTGGCTCTAGATTGATACCCACAGGAACCAGAGTACTGTTCTCTTCTGTGACCACTGGCAGGGGGAAATCCCAACAGGGCTGCTGGATTTTGTCACAGCATATGCAGATGCTCTTTTGCCAAATAGCATTGAGCTGCGAGTGTGCTTTAGGTGTCTGTGGAAACTATCCTGCAGGGAACCTTCTCTGGCAAGGAGTCCTTGCCGAGGAACAGAAATGTACTGTGTGACGACTAGGCTGAAATGATGGATTTCTTCAACAGGTCATCCCTGTTGTGGCCCGGATGATATACGAGATGTTTTCCGGTGACTTCACACGCTCCTTTGACAGCGGCAGCGTGCGGCTCCAGATCTCTACTCCTGACATCAAGGACAACATTGTGGCTCACCTGAAGCAGCTGTACCGCCTGTTGCAGACCCACCAGGAGGGGTGGCCGATGCAGGCCCCTACCATGCACATGGCACAGCCGCTGCCTGCGCAGTGACAGGCACTTGATCCTCCTGTGCTGTTCCCTCCCATGTGTATATAAGAAAACTTTGATAAGTGCCTTGCCTGAACCTGAAAGAAATCTGTAAATCTGGTTTTCTGATTGAATTTCCACAGTCTCATGGTACTTTTCTTGGGAGAGTGTTATAAATAAAGGGAATAAGGAATGCTTCTAGCTCCACTGTTTTTAGCTGCTTGCTTAACCCACCACTATGTATAAATCAGATTTGTAATTCTGTAATATTTTTTAAACCAAATACTGACATCCTGTATATAAAGATTTGAGTGGGAGAGAGGAAAAACTAATCTGTACTCTATTAAAATTGCCTTAACGTTATCTCGCCTTATTTTATTTCTGTTTAACCAGCCTCTGACAGCTCCAAGCTCTCAGGCCAGCTCACGTTCCCACCGCTGTGCTTTCTATTTCACTTCTCCTTCCGCGCGTGCGTTAGAATAACGCCTAAAGGCAGGGGGAGCTCTGAGCTCCAGCATCGCGCCGCTCCGCCTTCTTTCGCGTTCAGCACCGCCTCAGTGAGGCCTGCCCCGCCGCCATAGGCCGTTCCGCCCCGGCGTCGCGTGGCGCTGTGGCCGGGCCGGAAGCCGCGGGCGCCGGTTGCGCCGCTACTCTGGGCCGGGGCTCGGCCATGGGCCCCAAGGGCCGCGGCGATGCGCAGGCCGTTCTGCCCGCCCCGCAGCTGGTGGCGGCGGCTCGGCAGGCGCTGGGGGCCGGGGCCGGGCGGCGGCTGGCGGCGGCCCGCGCCCTGCAGCTGGCCGGAGAGGTGCTGGCGGTGGCGGCGGGGCTGAAGCCGGCGCTGCTGTACGACTGCGGGGCGGCGGGGCCCGCCGAGCTGCGGCGTTACGTGGAGCGGCTGCGGGAGGCCGGGCTGGGCCTGGGCCGCCTGCATCTGCTGGGCGTGGCGGGCGAGGTGCTGCTGCTGCACCCGGGCCGCGCTCGGCGACAGCTGGAGGCCGCGCTCCGTGCCCGCCCCGGGCCTTTCATTGACGTGGCGGCGGCGCGGTCCGGTCCTGCGCTCTGCGGCTCAGCTGAAGCTGCGGCCGTCAGGGAACACGTGGAGGCCCTCCTGGCCCACCTCGTGGCTGCGGAGGAGGCTGCAGACAGCCCCGTGTCCTGCAGTGAGGTCGTGGCCACGGGTTGGAATCTCTGCACCGTGTTCGGGGTGCTGCTGGGCTACCCGGCAGCCTACACCTTCCCTGTGGAGGAGGGTGCGGAGAACTGCCTGGCGCTGACGCCACTCAGGGTGTTCACGGCCCGGGCCTCCTGCCCCAGGATACAGGGAGGGCTCCAGGTGCAGATCTGCTCCTTCAGTATCCCTGAGAGCCTCTGCGTGGAGCTGCAAGAGGTGCTGGACGCCTGGAGCAAAGAGCTGAGGGATGACTTCTGTGCACAGAGCGACTTCATTGATCTCTGCATTTCCAGCGAGGTGGTGTTGCTGCCAGCAGTTGCCTTGTGACAGATGGACAAACACTGGCTTTTCATCCTGTTCCTCACGTGCCTCAGGGAGTGAGGTGGGGAACCCACTGAGGCAATTCTAGGAGGCCCCGAGCAAGAACCAGATGGGTTTGGGCCTGACCAGGCCAGGTGTGGATCAAGTCCATGCGTGTCCCAAGTATGTGGATGAACAAACAGAGCAGCTCCACAGCCTGGATCCTGACTGTGGAGTGTGTTATTGTGTGTATTTATTTGCTGTGAACAACTGAGGATTAATAAAAAATGCTAACACAGCAGTATTCTTAGTTTGTGAAGTTTGTTGTAGGCTCTTTATTGTGTGTGTGATGTGGTGTCACACCTCGTGTCTGAGCCCATGCTTAGAGCAAGGGACAAGCGCTGCCATAAAGCCTGCACAGCTCTGATGGGTGGGAAAGCCTGGCTCTGCCAAAGTAGTGTGCTGAACATGAAAGAGAAGCAGACATGGCTGAGGGTGCTTGGCCATGAGGGAAGGTGGGGTATGGCTGAGCAGATGGTGTGAAGAGTGCTCAGCTTGGGTGGTATGCAGTTTTATTGCTGGATAAGATGGTGTAGGGTGGAATATTTCCCATGCATTGAAACGATAAATGAAGGGAATTGCATTGTTGTTTCTCTGTATGCACACAGCTTGGCTCCCAAATGCATGGGACACACGATCCTTGCTGCCCCCATGAGTCCGAGAGATGCCATTTGAATGGCTTTGTGCAGGGACCAAGCAGTGCAACCCTCAGTTAAAGAATAACTCACATGGAAGAGAAGGGTGATCTCCCCACATTTATTGGAGCCATGTCAGTTTTTCTGGCCGAGACCAGCTTGGGGTATGAAGCAGGCAAGGAGCGGCAGAAGAAGCACCGCAGTGAGGGCAGGTTGCTGCCAGCAGGTCAGGAGTCAGTTGTGCACGGAGGTCACTGAGGAGGTGCTTATGGTCTGTAGCTGGCCAGCACAGCAGCCGTGGCTATTGCTATCACTGCCAGCAGAAGAGGGAGCCAGTTACCGCGTTGTCTCTGCAAAAGGAAGCGAATGTAACCAGGAGGAGATGGGGAGAAGAAACCTCTCTCCCATCCCTAACAGGCATGCTGCTCATCCTTCCACACTGCCCCCAAATAAAGGAGTGTTTCCCAGGGTGATGTGCAGCTGCCACAAGGAAGGGGTGAGGGTCGGTCCCACCTTCACCATCTGGCTTTGGTTGAGCTCCTGGCGGCACTGGCGCAGGCAGCTCAGGCAGCAGCGGTACTCCTCACTTAGTGCCTCCAGCTCTGCACGCAGCTCCTGGCACTTGGAGGAGGGGGAATGGAGGCAGGGGTCAGCAGGAGGGAGTCCTGTGACTTCAGACACCCCAGAACAGGCAGGGCTCCCGCAGCAGCTATGGTGCTTCACCTGTATGTGGGCAGTGGGACAAGGGGGGATTTCCCCTTCTGCTGCTCGCGTGCCCTTACATACCTACACAGGATAGAGCAGGTTTCAGTGTTAGGTGGGGGCCCAGACAGTGCCCTGGCTGCTCCCATCCTGTGATCTGCTTGCTTCTACTACCATCTTTCACATTATGTGAAAGAAAAGAAAGAAAAAAAAAATAACCACTTCTTCTGACCACATACAAATCAGGAAAAAGATGTGGGGTGGAACATCAGGGTTCATGTCCTTCTTTGTGAGCCAATGCAGCTGGCACCCACAGCTGTTCCCTTTTGCTGTGATTACACTCAGCTAAGCCCCTTCCCCAGGTGATGTGGACACAGTCCTGGAGGAGTTAGTGGAACAGGTCCTGGTGTGTTCCTCAGCTCTGGTAAGTCATGGATCTTATTTTTATAAATCCCTGTTATGAGTTCTGCAGTAAGATGTGTGAGACTGTTGGTGTGCAGAGAAAAGTTTGTGCTACTGGTTTTTTGTCCTGAAATAATTGCTTATATGGTAAGCACCTTGCAGAAGGTCAGAAAACTGAGGGCTTTTTGGTCAGATGTTACAGAGTTTTTTCTGTTGTTATTTATTTATGAGCCTTCCTACCTCTCCCTCCCATGCTTCTTTTACGCCTAAGGCTTTGGCTCTTCAAGAGTGGCTTTATCTTTTTTCCCTTGAACAGAAATGGGTTTGTTTGAAGCAGTGGTTCTAGACATGGCTGCTTGGTGCCCTGTCCCTGCCAGCAGAAACTGTGAGCTTCATCTAAGGCTGGTATCAGAACAGAAATAAAGCAGAGTAAATCCTTTTGGTGGATCCCAGGTGCAGCCTGCAGCTCTGGCTGCCTCCAGGAGCTTTAATGTGCTGTTTTTCTATGCTCCTGAGAGCACCTAAAAGGCATCTCAATCCCTGATATGGCTGCTGTCCCAGCAGCGACTTCCTCACCTCTTTCTCCTTTGCTGTAAGCTGGGATGTCCTTTCCTGCATCTCATCCCTCAGGCTTTCTTCTGCCTTCTCCTTGGGATGCTCAGACATTGCATTTTGCATTTCCTTGGCAGGAGTGAGAGGTGGGTTCTGCATGGTGAAAACCTGATCTAGAAAACAGGCTGCTGGTGAGAAACACATCTTGACCTCCAGTTTGTTTTGTAGCTTCTCTACTCAGCATAGTTTGAAGATAATATTTGCAAGCTATGTACAGAGAGGAGCTCAGTTATCATAGGCTTGCCTCTCCTGTAGATGCAAGCTGATAGTCTTTAGAGAAATGTTTTCAAGCACTTACCAATGGAAGGGAGTGGCAATGGAAGGGAGGAAGAGCTTAAGTTTCTTTTACTGCTTTCTTTAAGTACAGAAGTACAGCTGTAATTGCAGCTACAAGCTGATTTTTGTTTTCGAAATGGCATAGCCACTGAAAGACAACTTGTAATGAAAACCATTTATTTTTTTGTAAAGTATCTGCCTCAAAAATAAACTTTTAATGTTAACTACCAAAATATAATCATAGAATCGTAACTAGTTTTGTGTAGCTTTAATATAATCCTTTATTCTAAAGAAATACAGACTTCTCCTCTCCTGGAGTCACTTCTGACATTCCCATGTCAAGTTAGAGCAGCTTTAAGTGGAAGCTAGAAAGTTTGCTGACCTTTCCTTTGCACCACCACTTCCTGTGTTTTCTGCTCATTGGTCTGGTTCTGCATCAGGTCTGAGGACAAAACAAGATGCTGTTGTTGCTACAGCAGTAATGCAGAGCTTTCACATTGTACTTCTTTGTGTTACTCACTGTGCAGGTGGCTGATTGTTGCCTCCAGTATTAGCTTCTGATTTTGCTCTTTTTGCAATTTACCTGAAATAATAAGAAAACCAGTGTTCATGCAAATATCTGCATGCAGGTATGGAAGTTTCCCATTCCACCCTTCTTTCTGAAACCCTTTTAATCTTTAATTTGGGACCCTTTGGAAACCAAAGGCTCTCAGTAAGCTGAGGTTATGCAATACATTCAGATACAGATCGCTTTGGGTGTACTAGGCTCCAAGAACCAGGGCTTTCAGGTTATGTCCTTGCTTTCTGCCTTTCCCTGAAGGAGTGGTACCTTCAATGTTGCAGATACGCTTGGCTTGGAGCTGGTTGTCCTGCTGCAGGCTGTCAGCATGCTGCTGGAGCTCGGCATGCTCGTGCTGCAGGAAGTCCAGGGCCTGGCAGAGCTCCTCATTCCTTGTAGCCGTGTGCTGTGGTGAGAAGCAAGGACTGGGTGTGCAGTAACAGCAACTTCACCAAAGGGCTTTTGTATGAAATGATCTCAGCCTGTGGGCTGTTTGCAAATCAGAAAACATGGGCTCCCTTGGGCCACGGCGCTGCTCCCACGGGGGTCTGATGTACCTGCAGTTGGCTTTGCAGGGCGTGAAGGTTGCTCTTGAGCTCGCTGTGTGCCTTGGCCATCTGGGCCCACTCGGATTTGAGCATGGTGT